TGTGTGTGTGTGTGTGTGTGTGTGTGTGTGTGTGTGTGTGTGTGTGTGTTTATGCACATGCATAGAGCTACATGTCATAGAGCTAGTAGAGATGACAGAATATATACCATAAAGGAGTTGACAGATTTCATGGAAAGTGCTGTTACCCTCTGATGATTCTGTGTAGCCCTCTTCCAAGATTTTTGTGAAAAGAACTTTAAAACATAAAATGCACTCTGTTGCCAATTAAAAATACTTTTGAATTTTTCCTAAAATTATAGTTTTCCTAGCTGTGAATTAGTGCTATATTTGTTTTACAAATAACTAATTCCAGGAAACCAGAATTGCTTATTATGAGCTTGTGTGTTGCTTTTTGAACTTAGAGTAATATTAAGATTATTATAGTATTAAATTTAGTTCATAGGTTTTAGTCAGCCAGATATATCTTGTAGATACCACATGTGGGATAAATATCACTACAAATCTTTTTCTCAAAACACTACTTTAAAGGAACATTTGTATTTCTGCTATTAAGTTTAATTTTTCTTAGTTATATCAGTTCATGTTTCTATTATAATCTAATCTGTCACCATCTTGCCTTTACAAAGTTTACTAAGGAATGAGTAAACAGGAGAATAATGGAAGAATGATAAGTAAAATATATTCCATACGTGATTGGTGTCCTTAATATATAACTGAAAGTTATCCTTAATGATTTTCTAGTACCATAAGCGTATGTTTATAATAATGTCAAATTAAAACCAGTATTTTATCTTTTCTCAATAGGGAGTTCTGGGAAGTTGTTCATTCATTTACAAATGAACAGAAAAGACTCTTCTTGCAGTTTACAACGGGCACAGACAGAGCACCTGTCGGAGGACTGGGAAAATTGAAGATGATTATAGCCAAAAATGGCCCAGATACAGAAAGGTAATTATTGACGTATAGCATCATACCTAATGTAAACCCTTTTACCTCATGCCACACACATTTGAGCAGAGGCAACATTTAGCCTCTTTGTTCTCTTCTTATATTTCATAGAAATATCCAAGTCAACATAGATTAGTGGAGGGAATATTCTGCCTTTACTACTCAATTAATATAGACATACTTAAAAAGTAGTTGTGAAGTTACGTGAGTTCTGAGTTTGTCAGATTTGTATGAATTATCCTTACCTTTGTTTTACAATTTAATAAGAAAGCTGTTTTATATAACAATCTCTAGAATTCTTACACTGAAATATAGACAGTTGTCTGTTCTTTAAAGTTTATTATAGAATCCTGAGCTACATGATTTTGACACTTGATTATATCCTTTCCTCATTAAATACTTCACTATTTTTTTTAAAGTTTATTAAAATATAAAAGTTTCCATTTTCGCCCCTCTTCCCAACACCCTCCCACTCCCCCAATACTTCACTATTTAATGGTGGGGCTGGACAATATAGCCTTAGAAGTATGTTGACTTTGATATACATTGACAGATTTCATTATTGTCTATTCATTATTTGATGCATATGGCTCTAATTTTAATTAATTTATGTTTGCCATCCAATAATGTTCATTGTCATTTTGTCAACTGTATTTCTAAAGAGTATTAAAGATCACAGACTCTGAAATCTTTATTACTAGGTTTGAATAATTTTTAATTTTATCATAAGTTATTTAGTGATTTCTACTTTTAGTAGGTTTAGTGATACCTTGGTATGTTTGTTGTGTGAATATTGAAGTGAACCACAAAGCTTAATTTTCTAAAAGCATGATGTAGAGTAGAATCTCACCTTCATATTAGTGTCATTTCATTGGATACAGATCTGCTCATCTTTGTAGTGCAGCAGCACCATGCTTATGATTTCATCTGTAGCTGCTCATAACAAACCATCTTAACTGCATAAGCATCTGATAGGAGCAGTTAGCACTGAGCATATTTCTTATGATTCTTGTTTTTCTCTTTTCTATTTAGGTTACCTACATCTCATACTTGCTTTAATGTCCTTTTACTTCCGGAATATTCAAGCAAAGAAAAACTTAAAGAAAGATTGTTGAAGGCCATCACATATGCCAAAGGATTTGGCATGCTGTAAACAAAACAAAAACAAAAAAGAAAAAAACCGAAAAACGTTACAAAACTTAGTAAATATAATAAGAGGGATAATTTGGTGGTGATAGTGTCCCAGTACAGAAAGGCTGTAAGATAGTGAACCACAGTAGTCATCGATGTCTGTGCCTCCCTTCTTTATTGGGGACATTGTGGGCTGGAACAGCAGATTTCAGCTACATATATGAACAAATCCTTTATTATTATTATAATTATTTTTTTGCGTGAAAGTGTTACATATTCTTTCACTTGTATGTACAGAGAGGTTTTTCTGAATATTTATTTTAAGGGTGAAATCACTTTCGCTTGTGTTTATTACTGCTTGAGGTTGAGCCTTTTTGAGTATTTAAAATATATATACCAACGAAACTACTCTCGCAAGGAAAACATTGCCACCATTTGTAGACCATGTAATCTTCAAGTATGTGGGTTTTTTTTGTTTGTTTGATTTTTTTTTGTTTCTTTTTTTTGTTTTTTGGGTTTTTTTTTGTTTGTTTGTTTCTTTTCCCCCTGTATCTAGCTCAAATCAGGACCTTCTTTTTTCCCCCCCTCCTATCAATTTGCTTTTGAAACTTGAAGTCTTGGAAACAGTGTGGTGCAAGTACTGCTGTTCTAGCCCCCAAAGAGTTTTCTGTACAACATTGTGAGAATCAATAAAGATGGAAGGGAGAACTTGGAATGTTTGAACCACAGCCCTCAGAACTTGACTTTAGTAACAGCACAGCAAATTAAACAACTCATGCCACAGTGTGTTGTCTTCATGTGTCTGCAGTGAACGGTTCCAGTAGCCAGTCCTCTTAGTATCTGAAAGGACAGGGTTTTTTTGTTTGTTTGTTTTTGTTGTTTTATGTTTACTGGGGAAAGTGCATTTGGCCAAATGATAGGGTAGTCAAGCCTATTGCAACAAAATTAGCAAGTTTGTTGTATAAACAAGCATGTAAAAGTGCACTTAAAATGAATCTTTATTATTACCTAGATTTTAAATAGACAATCCAAAGTCTCCCCTTCTGTTGCCATCATCTTGTTTAATCAGCTATTTTCCAAGGCACTCGATCAGTGTTGCAGCATAACAGAAAGGATGGCTACTGTGCCTTGTGTTCCTTAGTCACACAGTAAGCAGGCCTGCAAATGAATGGAACTATTACTCCTGAAAATTACATTGTATATCCCCCAAATTAAATTTTACTTCAAAAGTGTTAAATATTTCGTGTGCTATAGAAAAGAACAAATAGGCTTCAATTACTGGATATTTAATGTAGTTTCCCATTCGTAGTCTTCTATGTCTGTGATGTTAATTTCTCTTGTTGCATAATGAAATAAAAGAATTATGTATTTTTAACTAAGGAGAGACATACTGGTATATCATTTTACTACAAGCTACAGCTAATTTGTTGAGCTTGTGCCTTGATTATTTTAACAGTTAGTACAAAATCAACCTTATATTTTAAAATTAGGGGAAAATGTAGCTTTCAAATCATTGAAAGTGGGGAAAAGATGTCTTTCAGGATTTTTTTCATTCTTGTAGTAATTGAAACAGAAGTATTATTTACTGTAATGATAAATAAAGCAGTGGCTTAAAAAAACAAACTATACCTTAATGGGGAAGAAAAAAGAACACAGTGCTTTCCAATTGTAATATTTTAATGTGGGTTTATCCTGGGCTAGCCTTTAGAACACTGTTGTGGTATGTATGCTACCTTGACAATAGGACCCCTAAATGTGACTCTAGTCATCTTAAAGGGCCTCTCATCCACTTTGCTTCTTATGTATTATGAAATTGCTAAGAAGACAAATTAAGTGGGTACATTTTATAAAATAAATTTGTGAAGAAATTTGTGTTCTTCAGTTCTCAAGTTTTATTATCACTACAGTATTGAAGTAGTTGTGATACTATACTTGTGTGAAAGTTTCAAGTGATAATATAGATTATCAGACAGAAGTAACATCATTATATTTAATAGAAAGTGAGAAAAAACCTAAAAGAGTTTTAAGAGGATAGAATAAACTCATTTGTTTCTCAATTAGTTTTTTCTCAGCATGTTACCACGTTATTATGGCTACCTTTTCCTTATTGCTTTCTTAGACTGGCAAGGAACAGTATCTTAGGAGTAAAAAAAAAAATACCTTTTATTGTTGTCAAATGTTTCAAAGTTACAGCATAAAAGCACAGCCTGCAGCAAAACTTTTCTGGAGATTTGGCAGCTGCAGCAAATTAATTGAGTGTCTGATTGTATATATTGTGGTCTATAGTTAATTGTGTGATCAAGTCCAGTTACAGTTACCTTAGCTTTATTTGGAGATACATCCCTGTATAGGAAAGGTATATGTCAGAAGAAACCTATAAATGAGGCTCCGGAGAACATGTTCATGGTATCATGTGGCACATGCTTATGACTAGGCAGCATCACTGTTTCTATAAGGTGGCTATGCTGAAACTTAAACCTGTCTTCAGGATTTTTTTTCTCAAGAATCCACATAATCTACTAGAAGTGTTTTTCTGAGGCTACTCTGTATCTTTACCCTTCCTCCTCTTCCCAGGACCACCAGAGTAAAATAATAATAATAATAATAATAATAGTAGCAACTGTCACTTGTTGCTTCTCTTATCTTTTTTCCTCTTATTCCATGTTAGGACTATAAAACAATCCCTGGTATTTGGTGGGGAAGGTGTTTAGATAGAGGCTCCCCTTTTTTTCTTTCTACATTCAAATCAGTAAATTGACTTTGCTAACAGTTACAAGAAGTTTTAGTTACATGTATGTACTACATTTCACTTTGTGAAGGCTCCTAATCGAGTAATATTTCACTGAAAGTGTACTTTGAATGTACTTTGCAACAATACTAGTAATCTCCTATTTTCCATATGGAGAACTCTTGTTTTTAATCCTTGATATCACTGCAGCATTGGGCTACTACTTCCTGAACAGCTCATTTTTCCATCCCAACTCATCTACACTGTGTGTGAATACTCTTCTGATTGTACCTATAAGTACTTGTCTTAACTTTTTGGTCAACCTCAGTAATTCCCCAAAATTCTTCTCTAGCAGCTTATCTTATCGGACTTCTATTTCCAAGATGTCTTCATGGTATCTCAAAGTCAGTACAGTACCTATTAAAATTCTTACTCTTGTATTTTCTAGCCATTATTTTTTTGCTTGTGGGGACTGATGAAATGGCCTAGTGGGCAAAATTTTCCACACAAAATTTGATGACCTGAATAGTCTCCCCAGACCCCACATACACATGGAAGGAATGAGGAGCTTCATAGCATTATCCTGACCTTTACACGTGTGTTATGACTTTTGCTGCCCTCCTCCCACTTTATCGTACGTATCAGAATAATACATTACGTTTATTTTGTCTCACCTTTAATGCAGTTACTGACATTTTTCATCCCTAAAGTTGTCAGCTCTTTTCTCTCAAACCTATTCTGTTCAATTTTACTTTATTTCAGGCCCTAATCCCTTGGTGCAAGTTATCTTCCCTGACTCTTAATTACTTCTAATTCTTTTCATTCTCCTAAAGCAGTTTTTCTTATTTAATGTAATAACTTCCCCTTTGGATAAGTCTTGCCCCATACAGAGGGATTTCTGTGTAATTTCCTAGTGCAGACTGTTAACCAGCACCCATCTACATCCCTACTTAGCATTGTTACTTAGACTTTGTACAACTCACATATTCTTCAAGTTGAATATTCAGAGTATCATGTTCATAAAGACTTCTGTTCCCACAGTATACCTTCATACCCACGGTACACAGCCTGGTGGATTACATTTACTGGAACAGTTGAGACTTTCAGAAGTGACTACTGTTCTCTTATGGGTTTGCTTTGATTTTTGAATCTTTCTATTTTTTTTAACATTGTCTTGCGTGGAGTCTAAATAAAAAGTCACAGTGGAAATTGGTCCATAATGATTTTTCTGTCTTTCAGGCAGTAGGTACAGAAGAGACAGAAGGATCTATTGAAAGAATAGGTGGTTATGTTGAAACTTAAACCTGTTTTCAAGAATTTTTCTAAAGAAGTGTTTTTCTGAGGCTGCTGTTTGTGATGTTCGATCCTTTAGTTGCTTATTTTAAGACTATCTTTACTCTCTCTACCCTTCCCAGGACCACCAGAGTACAATAATACTAATAGCAACTTTCACTTGCTGCTTCTCTTCTCATATTCTGTTGGTCACTATAGAAGATAGATCTGGACTCACTGAATCATATTAGCCTATGGAAAAGGAAGTCAGAGAGTTGGAAAGCATTAGCTTGTTTGAAAGCAAGAGTTTTTGTGACTCTCTACTTTCTACCTTCTGTTGTACTCTAGCAATCAGTAACCACCTTATTTATGCCATCCACAAACTTCCCTTTATTCCAGCACTGATAGCAGCTGGCACCTTTAGTCATTCTGCTATTACTCGCCCCTCAGATTTTCACAGAGGAATCCTCCAGATGCTGTTCTATGTAAATGGGAGTCATATTTAACATTTTTTTATACTTTGTAAGTCAAATTCCTATAAATTCTGGAGAGAACTCTCAGTGACTGCTGAGTACCCGGGTTCATGCGCCTTCATTTCACAAAATAAGTCAGTCACTGTTACTTGAGAAATTATACACCTTACCAAAAGTCCTATAGCCAGGAAAATGAATGACTAAATTATTTTCTTCTTTTCATCTTCCCCTTGCAAAAAAAAAAAGCATCAAGTTAAGTGTCTTAGGCTGATATGCATGGGACCTAAGATCGTTATCCTAATTATTTTTCATTCTTCAGAAATCTATAGAAAATGATGTGGACAGTGTATGGAAAATAGTACAGAGGGGTTGAGATTGTAACTGTCATTCAAATGACTCCAGAGTTTAGTTTTGATCCTGCCATTCTTTTGACTTGGATTTTACCCAGTCCTACCTTATTGTGTGATTTTAATGAAATTACCATACAGATGCTAGATAACATCTTGGAAGACATCCTGAGAGGAGTTCTCCCAACAGTTGCTTAATTAACTAAAAGAAAAACATCAAGAGATTGGAATTGTCTGTAATAAAGATTTATTTTGGAAGAGTTGACCTTATCCACCTTTAAATGGAAGAGATTTGCTTTCACTTAACTTTGTTTGAGATACAATTCACGTAATATAAATTCACCCCTTTAAAAAGTGTAAAATTTGTGGTTATAGTCTATTCACAGAGTTGTGAAGTTGTCATTATATATAATTCCAGAGCATTTTCATCACTGTAAAAAGTTTTCTGTACCCATTAGGTGTGACCGCCTGTTCCTAACACCCAGCCCCTGGCAACTACTTATCTACATATGCCTATGAATTTGTCTATTTTGGACATTTCATGTTAATGGAGTCATATGATATGTGGCCTTTTTTGTCTGTTCCCCAACCGCCCCTAAAGAAATGAGTTCAAAGTACATCCTTGTAGCATGTATCAGAACTGTTTTCTTTTGTGGCCGAATATGTCATTATGTTGATATAATGTATTTTTTTGCTTGTCTATTTGGTTGTTGATATTGTATTGTTTCTGCTTTTTGCATATTATGAATACTATAACTATGAACACTTTGTGTACAAGTTAAGTTTTCATTTCTCATATTTCTCATGTCCTGTAAGCATCTTATGATTTTAGTTCTTAAATTTCGGTCTCTGATCCATTTTTGCATGTGGTGCATTGTAGGGATCCAGTTTCATTCTTTAATATGTAACTATCAAGCACATAAATAATTGTTATATAGACTAATAATTATCTCTTTATAAGTAGGCTTGACATCCTTGTGACAAACAAAACAGATTCCCGGACACACACACACAAGTGAGTGTAAAAATGGACTCCTTGACTTTAATCCATTGTTTTATGTGTTCTTAAGCCAGTACCACATTGTCTTATTGTAACTCTTTAGTAGGTTTTGAATTTAGGATGTACGTGTCCACCAATTTTGTTCTACTTCAAGATCATTTTACCTATTCTGGGTCCCTTGCATCTCACATGAATTTTAGGATCAATTTGTTAATTTCTGCGTAACAAGCACCTGTGATTTTGATAGTTTTTGTGTTGATTCAATACATCAGATTGAAGTATGTTGGTATTTTAACAGTATTAAATTTTCTAATCCATAAACATGGAGTGTCTTTCCATTTATTTAGGTCTGTAATTTCTTTCAGTGCTATTTTATAGATTTTAGTGTATACATCTTGAATTTATTACATTAAATGTTTCTCAAAGGTAGTTTTCTTGACACTATTACCAACAGTTGTTTCTTTTGGATTATTCATTGCTAGCATCTAGAAAGGATCGAATTTTGTGTATTGACCTTGTATACTACAGCTATTCTTAGCTGATTCTGTTTTTAATTTTTTTCCTGTATACAAGATTGTGCATCTGTCAATATAAATACTTTTTCTTCCTTTCAAATCTGGATTCCTTTTATTTGATTTTCCTGCCTTAGTTCCCTGGCTAGCACGCCCAGTATAATAATAAATAGAAGTGGTAAGAGTGAACATCTTTTTCTTGTTCCTGATTTTATGGGAAAAGTATTAGGTCTTTCACCATTAAATATGATTTTAGCTGTGGGTTTTTCATAGATGCTGCAAGTTGAGGAAATTTCCATCTATTCCTACTTTATTGAGTGTTTTTTATCAAAAAAAATACTGAATTTTGTCAAATGCTTCTGTATCTATTAAGGTTGTCATGTAGTTTTTGTCCTTTATTCTCTTGATATGTTGTATTACATTGATGGATTTTTTTGTATATTGAACAAACCTTGCATTCCTGGAATAACCCCACTTGTCTATGCTACATAAATCATTTTCTATGCTGCTGGATTTGGTTTGCTAGTATTTTGTTTAGCACATTTGCATCTATACATAAAAATATTGGTCTGTAGTTTTTTCTACCTTTTTTGTGGTTTTGCTATCAGGGTAATACTGGTCTCAAAATATGCTAGGAACTTTCTAACTGCTCATAAACAGAATAAGATGTGTTTGAAATAATATACTTTGAAACTTAATCTGTGATGTTTAGATATTGGGTGACACAAGAGTGATAAATGACTCTTGCAAGGATTCCAAGGTGAGACATGCCAGAAGTAGCTTTTGGCTGCTGAATAAAGGGCAGTTAACACCAATCCGATCAAGCTGGGTCTATCTCATAAGCTATATGTCATTGTTATATGACTTAAGGATTACCTTGCAAAAATAACCTTTCTTATTAAGCCACACACCTAGAAGCAGACTGCCACCCAATGTAGAAGCTTTGGGGTAGGAAACATTGCAAGCTAATGACCAAGCCAAATAGTGTCAGGAGAGATTGCCAAGAAGGTAAATTCTTGAAAGTTACCAATACCCCACTCTCCACTACCACTTGTCAGAATCCTAACAACTTCATAAGTAAGACAGTATTTTTGTAGTGATTCCCCCTCTAGTGCAGAAGTGCCCTAAGTGGCTGTTAAGCCTGAAGGATAATGGAAAGAAATGTGGAATGTCTATGATGGAGAAAAATCTCTGTATTAAAGATTTTTAAAGTTGCTGTTATCCTAATATACCAGAAATTCAAATTTGTCGTTAACATTTTTTTCCCCAGATACTATTGGGTGTTTACTGTTTTTCAGGTTGCTAGATGAATCAGATTAACTAAGAGTTGTTTTTGCTTAATTAAGGTATCATACACCTATAAGATATAGAAAATCTTATAATAATGTATAAATGCATGGTTTGAACTGAATTCAGTTCAGAGACTATATACAAATGATTAGGTGTGTGGTAGATAGACGAGAGGGGGAACATTTTAACAGCTGGAATATGTGTTCTTGATAGCATTAGAATGGAAGTGGATAGTTACACAGATCATGCAAAGCCTTGTAGACTTAGATTTTATTTAGCAGATGTTAAGAGGCAGAGACATAAATTCATGCTCCATTACCATATGAACTGGAAGAGCCTAGGTGCCCATTATTTTCTTTGTATTTAAGAGATTGTTGCTGTAATTCCAGAAAGACATGATATGATAAAAGAGAAGAAATAGTGGATGGGGTGATATAGATAGATTTAAAAGAACAGGTTCCACATACTCAATTTGAATTGGTGCTGTTGGGTTTGCACTGGGACAAATTGGGCAGGGTGTCTCTACTGTACTGAATCATGTTCTATATGAAGTTTTCTAAGATTATTCAAGGGGACCTGTTCCAAATCAAATTAAGTCTAGAGAAGAGTCTGTTTTTGTACACGATTTTATCCCTTCATTATTATGTACTTATTCCTCCAGGTTCTTAATTTGTACTCATAATCTCATTACTTATATTCATATTTGGTTTTATTTTCTACCATCTATGCTTTCTATGTTTCCACATAACCAACTCATAAGAGAAAATATAATGAAATGAAAACAATCCCTGTGAAATTGTCATGCAAAACAGCACTTTAGAGGACATGAATCCTTTGTCTAATAACACTTGAAAACTTCAGTTATTTAATTACGAGTAGTATGAATTCATTGTTTTCGCTCATAGAAGATAATATTTGGAAAATGCATAGAAGTAGTGGTCAAGAGAGTACTAACATGTTCATTTAAATGCCAAATACCATTATACACACACATGCACACATGCATGCAAGAACCAAGCATTTAAATGGTAACTTTAAGGAAGGAGGTCTACTAGAGATAAGAAAATAAAAGGCTAGTATTTTAGGTTGTGCAAGGATATCTTTCCAATATTTGCTTTTGAGATATTTTGGTTGTGACTTTTGGGGGGCTAAAAGTAACCCAAAAAAAGATTAGGTTGCTCAACCCTTCCTTCTTTTAGGAAATTCCAGATCCCAACTTATAAATCATTTTTTTCCCCTCAAGATCACCTTAGCTATTGCATACATACAAATACAACTAGAAACTTCGGCCTCTACTTAACATAAAATGTGAGTACCTCACCAGAGGATCCTGGTTTAACCAGCTTCCTTTGTGTAACATTGTCTTGAATGTTGGCAGGGTAAGTTGGGGAGGGGGGCTATTATGTAGTCAGATTTTGCATTTTTACTCTAGAAAAGAGTTTAAAAGTTTTAACCAGATTCCCATTTCAAGCTGTTTCTTTTTTAAGAATAAAAAAAAGTCTCAACATTTGAGCTTCTTTTACTTTTTTCTTTTAAAGAAAGTGTTGTTGCCAAAAATGTTCCCCAGGATCATTTATTATATATTCTTGCTTGTAATTTTCATTTTCTCCGAAGATAAAACTTGGTATAAACAGTTAAAGAATGCCTTGGTCACAACTTGACCTCATCTTTGCTACCCATTCTCACCATCGTCATTCATTGTGTTTATAGGCCCATATTTCTATATGATATGGCAGCCAAGCTCTCAAGTCATAGTGGTCACATACCCTTCAGACAGGCTATAGCTACCCTAACAAAAGCTCAGGATATGCCACTCCTTGCTTTGTAATTATGTAGATTGCCTGAGAAGAGGTGTCAATTCAAGCTAGTGACAGAGCTGAGGATGTGACAAAATGGGCATGGAAAGGTGTGGTCAAAGAGATAGAAGTAACTAAAAGCCATTCACCTGGTTACCTAGGGAACAGAATGCTAATGTATTATTCCCCTAAGTTTATGTTTTGATATCTAAGGCTGTTTGGGGAATAAACCAGGGGAATTCTTCAGGATGTGAACTCAGGACTTCATGAGGGACCACTGAAAATCTCCCTCCCAATAAAGCCATGTGAGTTTGTCTTTATTCCCACGCCTTCATGCCTGTCCAGAGAGATATAGTTTATGTTGGGGTCTAGCCCAGAGAAATTTATGGTCCGGGCTAGTATCAGACCCTGACATAATGGCACCTAACAGGCTGATCCACAACCCCCCCCCCAAAAAAAATCACAAAACAAGTGACCATACGTGAGGAACCTGCGAGAAAAAATTGTTGGATACATGAGTATTGAGTGGTCAGAAATAGAGATCAAAATTTAAATTATAAAAAGCGGAGCAAAATTTAAATTGAGAATAAAAATTTGTAAATAAGTTTTATATATATATATATGGGATAAGAAAAAAGTATTCAGTTATATATGTTGGTAGCTAAAGGGAGTTAGAGTGGAGCAGAAACTGGCTCTACAACACTTGAGTACTGGCTAAAAATACATACCACATAGTTTTATGTAAATACAAAATAATATGTTTTCCTGTAATGTTTTCAAACCCCCTTAGTCCTATTTATTTCCTCTGCCTCTCTTCAAGCTTCTGTATTCAGCTTCAAACACAATGATGAGGGCTACTTTTTCTGTTACGTCATCCCTTAGTTCCACGAGTGTCTTCACATATACTGCTGATCTGTTTTGAGTAATTTTGAGTAATATGTGATTCTGGCTGTTCTGGAATTCAGATTTGTTATTTGTTAGATTTCTCTGTTGGTGGCTGTCCTGTCTTATATAGCCTTGGTCTTCTGTTTGTAGGTCCCACTAATGGTTCTCTATGCCAGAAGTGAATCACCTAGACCCCTTTCCTTCTAGTTTTCCTGTTTTCCAGGTACTCTGCATGCCATTGCAAACTTTGCCTGACTGTAGCATCTCTGTCCCTCCTTGCAGCACATCAAACCCCATTTCTCTGTAATTTCATATCCTGTAGATTCTCTTTGCATCTATTCCCATCCCCAGATGGCCACTGTGTTTTGCATCTGAGTAAAAAATACTAACCTGTGATGCCCGGCGGTGGTTTCTCATGCCATTAATCCCAGCACTCGGGAGGCAGAGGTAGGTGGATCTCCGAGTTCGAGGCCAGCCTACTCTATAAGAGCTAGTCCCAAGACAGCTAGGGACGTTACCCTGTCTCAGAAAACAACTGAGGTTGATGGTTTTAGAATGAGCTCTGATTTAGTTAGACTAATGTTCTTACTAGGTAAAGAGAGCAGAAGCAAGAGATTGGGGAATTGCTTCTGTGAGACAAGGAATGAGATGGATTATTTTTAAAAAAAAAAAAATCAACCCACAAGAGACAAGGATTCTTCCATACAGGTTTTAGATAATTCTAGGCCCTGTTAATTCTATAAATTTTTAAAAAGGTGAGTGTTATTTTGTTTAGACTTCAAAATTAACAATGAATTTCTCATGTAATGTATCACTGTGTGGTAATACAGAAGCCTTGGGAACCTAATGCAATGTTCAATATAAACAAAAGCAGAAACAAAGGGGGAAATATATAATGGGACTAACAAACTGAAACTAAGTGATAAGCTTAGCTATAGTATAAACTCTGCATTGAAAAGACAGAATTTCATATGGATTCTTTAAAAAGACCTAACTATATGCAATGCATAAGGATATTGGAAGTAAACTTTAAAGAGAATGTTTTTTTTTAAAAAAGGGAAATGGAGACAAAAGTGACAACAGCTTGTCAAAAGAAATGTGGAACAATGTTAATAGCAAAATATTCTTTGAAACAAATAATGAGGGAATAGTTGCTAAGGAGTTATGTATCCAGAAGGCAACCCTGTCTGTTTACTTAAGAACAGCCCTAAACTGCTGGAAACAAAACCTAATGTAATCTCACTGCTAGGAAAAAGACACCCACAATTAAAGTTGCAAATTTTAAATACTTGTTTTAGTCATTCTTGGGATAACATGAAGCTGTAGAATACTTGGTTACTTGAACATCATTGCTAACTACCTTAAATGACATCGAACACTTCACATAACAGTGATATGTACATTTTTTTCATTTATATTTTGACCATTTGCCAAAACAGACCATATTATGAACCCTAAAACAAATCTCAGGGCAGTCAGGGTTGTTGATTTATTGCAGTGGAATAGTGGTTGCCTTACATGCCCTTAAAGCAAGATTTGTGA